CCAGCCTGTGCCAGGGAAGAGGGGGGGGGCGGGGGGGCATTGGGGGGGTTGGCTCGAGCCGTGCCAGGTGCAGGGTTTGCTAGCTGGGTGCTGGCAGGCTTGCACCTGGCACGGGCAGCATAGCCGGGAGGGGGGCAATAGAGTTTCCCTGGTGTTGGCCAGAGTGGCCACCAGGGAAAGCTGGGGAGGGCTAGCCTCCCACTAGTTCGAATTAAGGGGCTACACACCCCTTAATTTGAACTAGTAAGTTTGAACTAGGCTTAGTCCTCGTAGAATAAGGTTTACCTAGTTCGAACTAAGCGCTCCGCTAGTTCAAATTAAGTTTGTAGTGTAGACATACCCTTAGGGACTGCACATCTCTGGCACTTACGTGTCATCCTTCTCAGCAAAGTGTTCGCCCATGTTCCTGATGAACCTCAGTAGGTCCGTGACACTGTTTTCATACCGTTTCTTCGTCTTGTTCTTGTTCTTGTTCTGGTTCTTCTTATTGTTGTTGTTAGGGTTGAGCATGCTGTCCAGAACCAACTCGTCAATCTAAAATAAACATGCTGGATTACCCCATTCCATTCACAAAATCACACCTTTCCCCTGGCTCCAGCAGCCTTCCTCTGCAGACATATCATGCACAGATACATTTTTCACAGATGAAGATGGTCTTACGGCACTTACAATAAAACGTATGCTTACCAACACACACAATTTCTGTTTTTATCTGCTTTTCATTATCTGCACGCAAAGGGCAAAATAAAAGAGGTTTTTAAAATGGAAAATTGACTCTTTCACAGCACAGGATCCAAATATGGCTACCCTGATTTTTCTCCTATTCTACAAAACAGAAATATTAATGGCTTGAGACCCAATATGTGATGTTTCAGCCAAACTCAAAAAGGAAATTTTAAGAAAGCTGTGAAAAATGCAGAGGATAATTTAAAAGGAAAGCCTTCTCAGTCCATAGGAGAGCATTTGCTACTGGCAAACAATATAATGGTATATCTATTTTATATACATGTGCAGTAGGAAACTCCAGAAACCTTCACTTGTGTTTTTATGACTAAGGGCTGCATCTCTGGTGTTGTCCCATCTGCAAAGGCAATGGAAGCATGTGTGAACGGGCCGAAACCCCTGCTTTCTCCAGATGCTAGGAAGGGTCCCTATTCTAGTGCACAGGACACTGGGGCAGGCCATGTCAGGAGGAACCCGAGAAGAGGGAATATGTAGTGGAAGCAGTCCTAATTTCCCCCTTTCCCTGCATACTGACACTAACACATACAGCAGAGCACTGTGATCCCAGACCCTTTAAGACATGGGGTTGAGTCGATGTTGTCTTGGAGTAAGGATTAACTTCTCCGTGAGAATTCTAGCTATCAGAAAATGGTTTGCCATCGATGCCCTGTATGGTGGATATGTGGCCTTTCCTCTGAGGGTATGTCTACACTTGCACCCTTTTTCGTGTCTCTTGCTGCAGGTGGTGAGGGCCATCAATGCAGACCTGCTGAAGAGGATCATCCATCTCGGGGACCTGGACGACATCATTGCCGGGTTTGCCGTCCTTGGATTCCCGAACTGCGGAGGAGCCCTCGTTGGGACACACATCCCAATCCGCGCACTGCCCTATCGAGCAGCCCAATTTATAAACAGGAAGGGCTACTATTCGATAATGCTGCAGGCCCTGGTCGATCACCGGGGACATTTTATGGACATTTGTGTCGAGTGCTCGGGGCGGGAACATGATGCCCGCATATTCCGCAACTCCTATCTGTACCGCAGGCTGCAGACAGAAACACTTTTCCCCCAGCGGGGCCTCGTGCTCGGCAACGTGCAGATGCCGGTGTGCATCATGGCCGATGTGGCCTACCCCATGATGCCGTGATTCATGAAGCCCTACATCACGGATGCGAGCAAGGAGCTTTTTAACACGCATATTAGCCAGGCTCGCCTCCAGGTGGAATGCGCCTTCGGACATCTGAAAGGGAGGTTCCGTTGCCTCCTAACATGCCCAGAGATGGGCGAACGCCACATCCCGGAGGTGGTGGCCGAATGTTGCACCCTCCATAACCTGGTGGAGAGGAAAGGGGAGGCCTTCCTGCCGGGGTGGGGGACAGGTGCTGATGGCTAGGGGAGGCAATTTGAGCAGCCCCGGATGGCTGCCATCCGCCACGCTCACCAGGCTGGTGTCCGAATCCGAGAGGCCTTGAGGAAGAGATTCTCAGAAGTAGCCCACTGACTCTCCCCAGGGCCTCCCCCATGGGGGGTTTGGCCTGGCCCACCCCTACCTGTCCCTCCACTACCCTCACCCTCTTCCCACAAAGAATACAAACACATCCAGTTTTCTTTATAAGCAGACACTGTTTTTTATTAGAAACACTATCAGTAAGGAAAATAGTAGCCCTAACTTCCGGCTCGGGGTTTTGCCGGAGAAAAGCGCCAGTCTAGACGGGATCTTGCAGAAAATAAACCCTTTTCCGGAAGATCCCTTATTCCTACTTTCAAGTAGGAATTTGCAATTCCGAAGTGTCTTATTAGCATCCCTTTTACAGAAAAGGGTGCCAGTGTAAACACAGCCTATCAGTAAAGAAAATGTGCTGTTTAAAAAAAATTCGCTGTGTACTGTTCAAATGTGTAAAGGTAAATCTTTCACTCAAAAATAAAGATTTTGTTCTATAACTGAAATGACCTTTAACCTGGGTGGTAGGGGACTGAAAACCTGGAGGGAGGAGGGGGGCTCAAGTAGACCACTGCTTCCCTGATTGCAGGGTCCTGCCACCTTCCTGTGTCCTGGCATCACCATGGCCTGGGAATCGGGTGGAGGGAGATCCAGTCCTGGCCTGGGGAGGGGGAGGCAGCTGTTGGACCTGTGAGGGCTTGGGAGCAGGAGGGGCTGAAGGAGCTGGGAGAGAAAGGGGAGCTGGAGGGGCTGGGGCCTGGAGGAGCAGGGGCCTAGCGTGCAGGAGGAGCGGTCAAGGCGAAGACCTCCCTCATTGTGGCATAGATGACAGTGCGCTGTTGGACCAGCTCATCCAGCAGCCTGTTGCGCCACTCGGCCTCCGCCTCCATCCTCTGCTGAAGAGTCCTGTTGAGGTCCTGCAGGGCCACTACGTGCTCTTTCAGCACGTCGGTGTAGACACGCCAGTGCCTGCGGGTGCCACGTGTCCGGGATGGTGGTGGAGCAGGTGTGGTGCTCCCCTCTCGGGCAGAGGGTCTGGCTGTGGAGGAAAAGAGGAGGAGACAATCAACGTATGAGTGCACCCCCGAGGGCATGCCGTGGCTGGCAGGGGCTCTCCTTTGGACAGGAGACTCAGGGGTGTTACACATGACACCATGTGTGAGTTGGGCAGCAGCCTGAAAGCATCACAGAGGCCCCACAGTGGCAATGGGACTAACTGGCCCCCCACACTGCCAACCCACCCATGTGTGGTGAGCCCTCAAAGCACTCACCTGATGTTCCCACCCCGACGTCCACGGACACCAGGGAGGCCTCTGGGGTCTGGAAGACCGGCTCCTGGGAGAGGGTGTCTCTTCCTCCTCCTCCGGGTGCAGCTCTCCTTTCCCTCCTTCCTGGTAGTCGTCCCTCAGAGGTTGGTCCACAGTATGGTGGGGTAACACAGATTCCACCACACGCAATGGAGTCTGGGCTTCCCCACCGCCCAGTATCTGCTCCAACTCTATAGCATGGGCAGCTCTGTGGGGCTGCCCCGGAGCCGAAGCTCTGGTCTCGGGCCTTGGCATACCCCTGCCCCAGTTCTTTCACCTTGGCCCTCACTTGGTCCATGGTGCGGGGGTGATGCCCTTTCTTGCCCAGTCCCCGGGCCATGTGTCCATATATGTCCATGTTCCTGCGGCGCGACTGCAGGGCCTGCAGGGATTCTTCCTGGGACCAGAGCTCCAGGAGGTTTTTAATTTCCAGCCCTGACCAGGCTGGTGCCTGCCTTTTGGTGCCCCTGGGTGGGTTCTCCTCACTGTCCCGAGGAGGCCTTGAGGCTGGGGGCAATGCCTGTCTGAGTGCCTGTGCCTTTAAGAGGCTGTGGACAGGAACCATAGAGGTGCTCAGCATGGACTGTCCATGTATGGACTGTCCACCAGGGCTTCTTCCCAGAGGCCTTTTTTTTTTTTTCAAAAGAACAGGCTCCCTGCGTCCACACACACCTTTTTTCAACAGATCTCTGTCGAAAAAGGCGTTCTTCCTCGTATTTACAGCCGTCGACACAACTGCCGTGTTCTTTCGATTTACTGTCGACAGAAGGCGGCGGCAGTCTAGACGCAGGTACAGTTTTTTCGAAAAAGGCCACTTTTTCCGGAAAAACCCTGGAGTCTAGTCTCACCCAGTCTCCTCTGATACAGAGGCAGCAGCGCAGAGGGGCAGGGGGCTCCTCGGGAGTGGGGCCAAACTGAACTGGCTGCCAGCCCCACCCCGGGGGACTACAGAATAGGCGAGTAACCAATAAGAACTCATGAGGTTCCTCGACTATTCAATTGAGCAATATCGAACGTCCCGAATGTGGAGTGGATGAAAAACCGCGGCGAAATCCACTCGCCAGCCGCGCACCGTGCATGCACCAGACCTGCAATACGCATGCGCGCGCCGCTGGTGAACGGGGTGACTGGCTGAAATCTACTCACCACGGGCGAGTAGATACACTGACTTGTCGAGCCCTGCTAATGTGGAGGGGTTTAGGGCACAGGGTGGGGATGTAGGAATCAGGGCAAGGAGTTGGGGAGAGGGGGTAGGGAGACAGCCGCAGCAGTGGGGGCTGGATCACTTGATAGTTGCTGCCTGGCCAGTGTCTCATGGGGCTGCGGCAGTGAGGGCAGTGAAACCTGCCTGGCAGCTGCTCCCTGGAGGGGCTGCAGTGCCTCTAGCCAGCTGGGCTCCCTCAGGTATCCAGTGCTGGGGCTGGGGTGAAGGAATAGTTTGGACTCTGACTTTGGGGGGAGAGGGGTCACTTCTCCATGGCCAGTGGCCACCACATACAGAGCCCTGCCTCCAGCCGGCCACTCTGTTACAGGTGTGGCCACCCCTCTGTGGTCACTCTGTACTATATCTCTCATCCACGCTTGTTCCCCTCCTGCCCACCCTTGGTCATTTTGGAGCTTAACTGTCCCTGCTATCAGACCCGTCTTCCATATTACGGAAAACAATCGGATTTCAGGCACATCCATTGTCCTGGCACAACCAAACCCTGACCTTGCATTAATTTATGATAAGAGGAAGCTGCTTGCCAAGTTTGGTGTTGCTAGCTCTTACCTTTCAGGAGAAGTTCTTGAACAAACGGACTCACAGACAGACAGACGCACAACGTTTCTAAAATATGTAGTAAGTTTTGTTAAATAAGTGAACGCTCCCTAAAGGCTTGTCTATGTGAAAAAGTTCTGCCACTTTAGTTATGCCGGTATAATTAAAGCAGGAACCTACTCCCTGCTGTGGACAGTTACTTCGATAGAAAAGGGCCTTGCATCAGTACAGCCTTTTTCGGTTTTGGAAGCAAACCAAGCTGTGTCTGTACAAGGCACCTTTATACTGAGGTAACTATGCCCACACTTGGGCTCATACCTGTACAAATACTTCAGCTAAACATACCAGTCCTAGCCAACAGTTATTTACCCAGATACAAAACTGTAAGTGTAGACCAGGCCTAAGTTTGTTCTGCACTGCGCTCATTGTGGTCAGCACCTAGCAAGCTCATGTGCTTTTTAACGGGTACTCTCCTTTGTCCTCTGTCAATCCATATCACACACCCTCACAGCTGTAGGCCAACACAGGCAAAGGCTTGTCACAACTTAAGAAGTGAGTTGTCAGGGCAATTTCAATAAATCATCTCTAGGAGCTCCGTGTACTCCAGCAGACAGTGATGGTAGTTTTTAAATCTCCCAGATTTGATTAGATTTTGCCCCCTCGTTATCTGGATATGGATGGAGTCACATAGTTGAGGTTTAAACTGGGGCATGTACATCCTATTAGAAATTCCCTCCACCCCACTCTCACATCCGTCCCCGGCAAAACAACTTACCTGATCAGTCCACTGCTGGAGACGGTGCGGCTGATCACAATTCAAAGCTTTCAGAATCTCACTGTTGTTGTTACGATTCTTGGTTGGTTTGAAATCCTCCTCGTTCCCAACGTCTCTCAGGAACCGGTACCTGCTGTGGAATCAAAGGCACGTTGGGGACTGCCTGCCCTACTGATTCCTGACAGAATGGGGCAGCAGGCCAGTCTGCTGTTTTTTTTCATTTTCAAACATGGCACTTACATCTGCTTGCTCCAGAAAAAGGGATGTTGGATCAAATCTCTCAGCAGGTTTTCAACCGGGCTCCCTTCATCAGGGGAAATCAGACTTTCCATAAGGTCTACAGTCTCCACATAGTCCTGTACTCCCTCCGGACAACTCAAAGTCAAATCCGGTCTATCCTCGTCCTCAAAGGGGACCTTTCCCATCGTTACAACATACAGGACCAGCCTTCTGAGCCCCTGAGCATGAGAACAAATGGCTGTTTTACTCTAGGACATGCAACTCCCCAGCAGACAGAAAAAAAGACAGAGAAATTATCTTCTAAAAGCAGCACTCTGTGTGTGTGACTTGCACGTGTGTGTATGTTTACGGCAGCATTCACTTAATGAAGTGTTTGTATTAGAGAGCTCACCGTCCTGAAAATACAGAGCAAAATCAGGACTTCCAGGGGTCAGAAACCAAAACTTCATTCGTAATCATTATTGCTTCCTTATATAGTGGTCTTTTGTGCGGTGGAGATTTCCTGAAACCAGGCTGTTCTAGGTTTCTTTTTGAATATGCAGGAGATCAGCAGATTTGCCCCCAGAAAGCAAAGAAAATGAATGAATCGAAAGAAGAGAGCAAAGGACATGAAGGGTGCGAGGGATAGTCTGAAACAAAATGTTGCTTTCATGGGAAGTTACCTTCAGGTCTTTGATTATAATTTCCTCCTGTCCGTCACTCAATCTTTTGCTCTTATCAAAATCTGCTAAGCGAACTTTACCAGCAGCATCTGACAAAATAATAGGAGGAGTTAAGTGGTGGATGTTGTTTTCTTTTTCTCTAGTATCCAGTTGAATTTTTCGCATGACCCCAGAATTCTTTGGGAGGATATTCACGGGGGCGACCTGATCTCTCAGTAAGAGGGCAAAACTAATGTGATACTGCAGCTCCCCATGAGCACTAATGCACCCCCAGCCTGTCTATGCCCAGCTCTATAATTACTCTGGAGGGGATTCGAGGCCACCAATTAAAAATTTCGCACCAATGAAATAAAAATTCGACTGAAATAAAATTCACGGACTCAGGAGTGCAGCTGCACCTGCCCCAGACTCACCCGAGACACGTAAGTTCCCTGTGGGTTGCGTGCTTGCATGGGCGCGCAGAGAAAGTCTCACCCACCTCTGCAGTGACCCGGTGCAAGGGTAGCTGCTGCGGCTGATGGGCGAGTGGAGGCTCAGTCAGGCAGCTCTCTGCTGTCCCTGACTCCCCAGGGCTGGAGCAGGGCCGCGTGGTGGCTACCCAGCTGCTCCCGGAGTGGGCTGTGTGGCGGGCGTCAGCTGGAACTGGAGCCAGGGCCACAGTGTGGCTGCTCCTGGGGCTGGGGTCTCCTACATCCCTGTTCCCCCTTCCCACAGCCCTCTTCCCCCCTCACTGCCCTCTGGCTCTCAGAGCTCCCGACCTCCTTCAACCCCCAGCTGGTCCCCCCTTCTGGATCCCCACAAGTCGTTGCCCCACCCTCAGCCCCCCACTCCCTGGGTGCTGGCAGCAGCTTCCCTCTGCCCCAGAAGTAGTGCTCTCTGGGGAGGACAGGTCCACGAAGGGGGTGGGGGGCTGCCTGGGAGCAGGGCGCAAGGTCCCAGCAAGCAGGGGCTGGGGTCTCCGTGCTGGGAGAGTCTCTCGGGGAGCAAAGCCACGGGTGGGTGCCACAGGGGCACATCCGAACAAGCACACACGACCTCAACGCTGGCGCACGAGACAAAACTCCCTCTGCTCCTGGATGGAAAATCTGAGGGGGAAACACGGGCAGGGGCCTGCCCCTCCGTGCCAGGCACATCAAGATGGCAAGTGAGAGGAAGAGTCTCACACACACACCAGCTCGGGCCTCTGATCGAGGTGTGGGGCGGGCACGCTCAGCCTGGCTGGATCTAAGCGTGGAGGGCCTTAGTGCAAGGGGAGGGGGTTCTAACTGGGGTAATCTGGGGGTGGCAGGCTCGCTGAACAGTTCTGGGTGCAGGGGGAATAGGGACTCTGTGTTGGGATCCAGCTGAAAGTGGTCGGGGCTTGCCGGAGAGATCTTGGTACTGGGGGAGCAGGGTTTGGTGGAGTGAGGGCCTGGGTGCAGCTGTCTGGAGCTCAGTGGGGTGAGGTTCTGGGGCAGCTGGCTGGGACTCCTCAAGGTGGTCCAGAAGCAGGGGAGGTGGAGCCTGCTAAGGTGGGGGTTTGAGTGTGGTGGTGGGGTTGAAGCTCAGCAGAGGGTGATCTGGGTGCAGGGATCCAGAAGCAGGGAGAGGGTTTTGGTGTAGTGGGGGCAGGGAGCGCAGGGGGGACTGAAGCTCAGCAGGGCGGTCTGGGTGTGTGTTGGGGTAAAGAGATGATTGGGGGTTGGGCGCATGCAACAGAAACTTCCTCTACAGTGTGACCCCGTCCCCTGCACCTGAGGAATGATGGGGGCAGGAAACGAGAGTGGGTAAGATATGGAGCCTCCTGCAGCCATGAGAGCTTTCTGGGAGCAGATCTGACCCAAACCCAGCCGCTCCTTGCTGGGAAAGAAGAGCTAAGTTTGACGCAGGGTAGAATCCCACAATGATTTACCTCTCCACCAGCTGCTCTGGTCACCCAAACAACATCATCACGCTTGGGGCTTCCCTCTGCTTTCCTTTCAAAAGTAATTTGTTTTCAGGTGGGGAAGCAATGTAATCTGCAGTGCACATGAATTCTGTGCACACACAGAGGTGTAGAATTTCCCCAGGGCTGTGTCTAGACTGCATCCCTTTTCCATAAAAGGCATGCAAATTAGACACTTTGCAATTGCAGATGACGCGGGGATTTAAATCCCCCCTGCTTCATTTGCATAAACATGGCTGCCGCTTTTTTCCGGCTCAGAGCTTTGCCGGAAAAAAGCGCCAGTCTAGACGGGGATCTTTCAGAAAATAAAGCCTTTTCCGAAAGATCCCTTATTCCTTATTAAAATAAGGGTTTGCAGCCATGTTTATGCAAATGAAGCAGGGGGGATTTAAATCCCCGCGTCATCTGCAATTGCAAAGTGTCTAATTTGCATGCCTTTTATGGAAAAGGGATGCAGTCTAGACACAGCCCAGGAGTTTATAATGTTTCACTTTCTCAATAGGAGAATATAGTAAGAATGATAAGAACACACAAGCTAACCTATCAAAATGTTGCGTGGATGTAGATCCTGGTGGCCAAATCCAAGCTCGTGTAGTTTTTGAACTGCCTCAAAGACTGTCTTAAGGACATCCTTGCAATCCACTTCATTATCTGGTGCACTCAGGTGTTCTTCAAGGTTCTTTTCACAGAGAGAGAGGCACAGATACAGGCAGGATTTCTTTTCCTCGACCCCAAGGAGATTTACAAAATGGTTGTGGGTCCGACATTCTTCAAGGCACGTTTTTTCTTGGTTAGCAATTTCTGTGCCAATCTTGAATATCTTCACAGCCACCTCTTTCCCATCATAAAATCCCAGGTAGATACCCCCTTGGGAGGTTCTGTGAATCCTGAAATCGTTATGTGTGAGGATCTTAAGTTTTCCAATCACAGGATGATACCTGTTGTAGAACTCCTTCAGCTGTCCTCCCCAGCGTTTGCTGGTGGGTTCCCAATCTTGAGGTTGACTTGGACAGGCCTTGGCACCATATTGGCGAAGAAGATCTGCCATTTTCTTATTGTACTTCCGACTGGCAAGCTGAATAAGGTCCCCATGGTCAGTTCTTGCTCCCTTCTCACAGAGTAGCTTTGCTATTTCATAATAGTTTTTCTCCACTGCTATCATCAGTGCAGTGTTGCCTTCTCTGTCAGCATCATTGATGTCAACTTCATTCTTCTCCAGTAAAGCTTTCACCAAATCCAGACTCTGTATCTCGACTGCCAGGATGAGGGTCGTTTTCCCATGTTCGTCTCTTCTGTTCACATCAACACCACGATCCAGCAGGAAGAGAGCAATCGAGGCAATTGACTCCCTTTCCTTGCTATCCCTTCGGAGGAAGGCGTGGACTAAAGCGTTCCTGTCATTGTTGTCACAGATGTCCATGTCAGCCTTCATCTCATCAACAAGAATTTTTACAGCTGAGTAGTGGCCCTCTCTGGCAGCATCCATCAGGGCTGTTCCGCCTCCTTTATTCAGCACCATTTTCTCCTCATTAACCATCCTCTTCTGATTCACATCTGCCCCCTCTCTGTGCAAGAATTTTAAGGCCTCCTCGTTCCCATACCAAGCAGCCTCCATAAAGGCCGTGAAACCATTGTCGTCACACTCATTGATCTCTGACCCCTTCGAAAGGAAGAGCTGCAAAAGATTCTTATTTCCCACTATCCCTGCTACAATAAAGGGAGTGGCACCGTTTTTCTTCTTAGCAAGCGGATCAGCACCATGCTCAAGCAGAAGCATAACAATCTCCTCCTTGTCTGCCTGTACCGCACTGTGCAGAGGTGTCCAACCACCTGCCACTTGGGCATTGACATTTGCACCTTCCTCCAACAGCTGCCGGACTGTCTCTATTGAACAGTTCTGGACAGCGCTGTGTAGCAGAGAGGTTTTGTCTGCTGCTGTTTCATTTCTGGAGGTAGTTACCTCCTCCTGGCTGTTACCAGTGGCCTCCATGACTGTTAAGATAAGTGCTCTTGTTCTGTGTCCCTTTCAAACGGAGAACCTACAACACAGAATGTACTTCTTGGGGGTCTCAAGATAAGTGCTCTTGTTCTGTGTCCCTTTCAAATGGAGAACCTTCAACAGAGAATGTTCTTCTTGGGGGTCTTCTTTAAGATGGAAGGATTGGTCAGTGCCTTTGTTGTCGGGATGACAAATGAAGTTTTCCTGTTGAAGTGCACCAGCGCTAGTTTGCTCCTAGGGCTCCATGCATCACAGATTCCAAATTTCCACCTGATGAGCAGAGAGAGAAAACAACCCTATTTATTGGTCCTTAAGATTTTACAATTGTGCTTAATAGGCAATAGTCTATGGAGCTGAAAGAGATGGACAGGAAAGGTTACATCAGGTGGTTTTCAGAGCCACAAGTGGTCCTGCATGCGGGGTGGGAGTGGGGATTATACCAGAGGTCCTCTGCATCCATAAGCAATGCCCTTTGCTACTTTGATTCTGAGTTTCGTATAAGCACAGACTGACAATCATAATGAATGGGTAGAAGTGGGAAAAGTGGTTTGAACCTCGAAGAGAATACATGGTACTTACTCTTGAGTGTGCTCGTCATTTGGCAAAAGACACCCCCTGAACCTCGAAGAGAATACATGGTACTTACTCTTGAGTGTACTCGTCATCTGGCAGAAGACACCCCAAAAAAACATGATTGTAACCTGATTTACTCTTTGTCCTTAGATACTGTTGTGGGTACTTCTATGTACTCTGCACTTCCAAAGCTCTTTGAATTTCTACAGCATTACTCTCTGCACTAGGGATGTTAAATTTTGATTAACTAATTGAATAGTCAATGGGATTTCGATAAGGACTAGCACTAAATTTTGATTAACTAATTGAATAGTCGATGGGATTTCGATAAGGACTAGCATGGCATTTCGCCTCTGAAATGTACACAGGTCCCAGCAGGGGCTCTTGTGCATTTCAAACTCGGAATTCTACGGACTAGCATGGCATTTCGCCTCTGAAATGTACACAGGTCCCAGCAGGGACTCTTGTGCATTTCAAACTCGGAACTCTACAGCTGCATCCCTGTCCCCTCCCATGGAGCTGGAGCTGGAGCTGGGGGGAACTGGCTTTTAAGCCAGCTCCTCATAGCACCCTTTCCTCTCTCCCGGCTTGCCTCCTCTTTCTGATGGAGGTAGCAAGGGGGAGGAGCAACTAGTTGACTAGTGTGTCAACTAGCTGATAAGCTTTTGCTTATCAGATAGTCAACTTGTCGCTTACATCCCTATTCTGCACAGAAGAGTGCAGGAGATTCCAAGCTTTTAATTTTCAAAAAGAAGTTTTTAGTCATCATGACTATGAAGATAACCTTGCAAATCTGACCTGAATAGAAGCTGACGCAGAGGTGTTATCATTGTGAGCCTGCACGCAGTGGAGATGTATGAACTTATCTTAACGGATGTTGACTCGGGAATGGAATGAAATTTTAAATTTTATTATTGACCTACAGTGAGGTCAGTAGAAAGTGAGTAGTAGAAAGATCCAGCCACTGTGCTTTTCTGTAATCTTTAAATGTGCCAGATGCTACTGCAGAATTTTCTGATCACTACAGAAGTTAGCATTATAATGCCACAGAAACCATGGATGGAATTTAGGTTAGATTTGCTGTAAAATACACATGGCCTCCACTATCTGCACCAAATATCAGATGCTTCCTGTCCTTTGCTGGAGAGTATAAGCATACACATCTATTAGTTTTGGACAGGTGGCTATGCTCTTAGCCCAGTAAAGAGAATAATCAGAAAGCAGTATTAGATAAAAAAAAAAAAAAAGTCCCATGTTACGCTGCTCCTTTTCTGTCCAGTGAGGAACACACATTTCTCCATTAGACTTTCTTAACCCTTTTGGGATCAGTCAGGAGGTAATTTAGGGTCTGGAGGCACACATACCACAGACAGGTCATTATGAGAAAGTCAATGAGTATATTCAAGACTCTATTTTTCTCAGTTGCAAAATGGGGTCAATAGTTAAAATGCACACGAAACATGATGAAATGTAAGAGTTCAAAGCATTATCTAATGTGAAGAGGGAAAATTGGGAGTATATAAAATATATATATATATATATATATATATAAAAAATGATCTCTGTACCTTTTTGTCATATGTTCTGCTCCAGAGTAGCTCTGGGCAACTCTCCAGGATCAAAGCATATGTTCATTTCCCTCAGTGTTTTGATGTTGATCTGCCTTGAAAAGGAAAGCAAGGTGCAAAACTTAATAAGCACTTTTCCCCTTTAAAAGAAAGGTTATTGCTATTACAGAAAACGAATATTCAGCTAAGGGTGACAGGCATTAAAATTGTTGTTTTTGTAAACCAAGGACGTGATCCTTCTGGGCTCTTATTTGTGTGCTGGACCGGAAATCATTCTTTTTGGGGGACTGGCAGAGACGCTGCCAAGTCCTAATGTCAGGAACAAAGTGAATGGAAACTTCCCATATGTTTGGCTGTCTTCTGATAAACCCGAAGGAGTGGAGTCATTGACCAGGGGAAGGGAAGGAAGACAGAGTCGCTGTGTCTGAGAAACACAAGGCTCCTCTCCGGGTCAAGGACAAAAGCGACACCCTTGCTGGAGGAAGCGAGCGGCCAGGCTCCTTTTCAGAAGCAGGGGAAGGAAGGGCTCGCGTACATGGTGGGGGAGCCTAGTGCTCAGAGCCAAAGGAGCCA